ACTCAAAAATGTAATGTTTTTAAAATACAGTGAGTGTTTTCACTATAAAAATACAGAACATACAAAGAGTATTTAAGTCACTCGTAACTGAATTAAATAATGTACATGATCATGTCATTGAGATTGTTCTCCATTTAACAATATAGGCAAACATTTCCCCATGTCTTTTAAAAATATTCAGAAGTATTTTAATGCCTAAGTGATATTTCATTTGGATATAAATTAGTTAAATATGTATATACGTCTGCATTTTCCATTTAAGCCATTTGGCATATCCATTTAGGAGCACATTTTGATGTCTTTAATTTTAGACTATTATAAATAACACTGTGATGAACATCTTTGTACATTGATTTTTATGCACAACTTGGGTTATTTTCTTAGAATAAATTATTGTAAGCTGACATAGCAGACATACTGACTTAGCGGCTTACGGATAGGAAAAAAAGTTGAGGTTTCTTGAAGCATCCTGTCAGGTCACTCCCCAGAGAGGCCCTGACAGTTTACACTCTCATTAACAGTCTGAGATTGACAATTTTCTGACGCGATTTCCAACTCTGAGGATTCTTTACTTCCACATTTGCTATTGACTTTGAAGAAGAGAGAGCGAGGGAAGAACACAAATGAAGAAAAACGGAACAACGTGCTCACCCTGTGGGTCAGAGAGCTCCCTAGATGCAAACCCCTGACCCATCTTTGGAACCACTGCCCTCTGAGGGGATGGGGCTAAGGCAGCGGGAGCCTGTTGGCTGGGTTGGTGTTTTCCAGGATTGTGCTCTGAGCTTGGCACACTTCCCTCCTTGAGCCAGGAGAGCCAGCTTCCTGCACTGGGCAACTCGTAAGGTCAGCTGGGCAGGGGTGGGAGCCAAGGCCCAGAGTATCTGCTCCTTTTAGGCGGAGCCTGTAACTTCATCCCATGGTGTCAGATCCTAGAGATACCAGAGAAGAACATCAACACAGCAGTCTCTAGTGGGCCGGGGCCTTCCGCAGTAATCCTGAGAAAGCGTCACTTTATCGTTCCCGCAGATAGGAAAAGAGGGATGGAGGGAAGGTAGAAAGACAGATGCAAAATTAATTTGAGGAGTATTTATTGAGGATCTGCTCTTTGTGCTGGTGGAGAATCTGAGGATGGGGCAGCCAGAGCATGTTGGCTTAGCTGCCATGATCAGGCCTTTCAGCCTGGCACAGTGAAAATCCAAATAAAGCCCTGGCTGGCGTGGCTCAGTTGGAGCCTCATCTGGTGAACCAAAAGGTCACGGGTTCAATTCCCAGTCAGGGCACATGCCAGGTTGCAGGTTCAGTCCCAGGTTGGGGTGCATGGGAGAGGCAACTGATCGATGTTTCTTACATCACTGTCCCTTCCCTTCACTCGAAAATCAATGGGCATGCCCTCGGGTTAAGATTAAAAAGAAGAAGAAGAAGAAATCCAAATAAAAATCCTTATTTTCATGGAGCTAGAATTCTAGTTGGAGGAAAAGAGTCAGGAAGCAGCGCTCGGGGAGGTGGTGTGACCCGCGCAGGGTCTGTGCCTTCCTGTCGGCAGCAGGAATAACGTGGAGGACGAGCCTGGCGCCCTGAGGCCTTTCTGAGTCATGGTTACAAACTTCCTCACTAATCTCAGGGAGCTGTGTGACAACTGAGTGAGCGAGGCATGGAAAACATATAGAGTGACTTGGTAAATGTTACCTTTACTTAGTGTTAGAATTACCCTAATTTTTATTGTTATTGCTGCTATGGCAACAGGCCATCCCCATGTTCTGAAGCTCTGAGCAGTTCACCCAGCGGCGGTGGGGGGGGGGGGGGCGGGGGCGGCGGCAGTGGAACTTCTGTGACCTGCAGAAGGAACCGCCTCTGGGATTTCAGAGTTTTGTTTTTTGTTGGGTTTTTTTTTTCCCCTGTCATCGTCGTTTGTTTTTTGCTGTAGAGGAGCCGAAGCACAGTGACTGGGGCCACTTCCTTCCCTCGGGGCAGCCAAGGAAAAGGCAGGCTGGGCGCGCCCTCTGCCGGAGCTCTAGGGGAGCCCCTGAGACACAATTCCCGCCCTGCCTTTAACCCTGGGGTAACAGAGGTCCAGAGAGGGGCAGAGCCAGGTTCACAGCACGAGGTCACTCTTTTTTCTCTTCTACTGGACACCCCCCTGTCTCCCGTGCCTGATCTTTGACTGCCCTAATTTATTTTTCAGGTGTCTCTTCCCAGCTAGGTATTGGGAGATGGGGTTTTAGCCCTCCGTACTGGCCAGCCCCTCCCCGCTCCTCCCACTGCCCTCTCCTTCCTCTGCCTCCCCCTCTGCCCCTCCCCCTTTCTTCTCTGTCTCTATCTCCCTCCCTCCCGCTCTCCCTTCCCCTCTCGTGCACACACACATTCCCCAAAGCATTCACTGAGTCCCACCCTGGGCACTTTGGGGCGCATACTGCCAGGCAACGTCAGTTATCTTCTGAAAACATGACACAATAACTGGAGCATATAAAAACTTCTACCTTTACAAAAATACAGACTTAAAGGGAAAGTTCCCCTTAGTCACAGAGAATCACACTTGGCAGGGTTTTTTTCGGCCTGTATCTGCTATCTTTCACCACAGAAACTGGGTTTTATTTTAGGCGTTATTTAGGCGTTGAAAACCTACATCTTTCAATTAACAGTTTATCTCCAAGCCCTTGCTATATCAGTATAGGCCCATCTGGCACCCTTCTTTTTTATAAATACTTTATAATTCATGTAATGCCTGGCCGCCTGCTGGACGCTCAGAGGGCGCCCTGCGGTGCGCCGTCACCAAACTCCCTCACTCTGCAGAGGACCTTGACATTGTGCCTGCGTGCATCTAGAACTGGGGCTTGCTGGACCCGCCCCACCTAGGAGGGCTCTGAAGGTGTGAGGTCAGGCCAGCGGCTTAGACCACCCTCCCACTTCCCAAAGCAGGCTCTGCCAGGCAGCCAGGGTCCCGGCGGTGGGTCTGATTGCCCTCAGAAAAATCACAGGTGGCCAGTGAGAGACACTCATTCAGACCCCCCAGCAGGTTACAGTTTTTCATGTGATAGTATTTGTGGTCGGCAAGGTGCAGATAAACAGACAGTATGTGCGGCTGATGAGAATAGAAGTAGGAACAGTAATGAATTTTATAAGTTTTATACTCATTTTTTCATCATCAAAAATACAGTTGACTCTTGAACCATGTGAGTTTGAACTGCGGGGGTCTGTTTATAAGTGGATTTTTTTTTTTTCAATTGACCCATGCATTTCAAACCTGCGTTTTTTGGGGTCAGCTGGCAGCTGGGAACCTGGCGGTGTGGAGGGCCGACCTCAGTTACGCGTGGATCCTGGACCGCACGGGCAGTCGGTGCCCCTAACCGTGCCACTGTGCCATGGGAAGGCAGCTTGGAACTGTGTCGAAACAACATGTCTTAACACTATTTCATCCTTCGCTTTAGCCCATCAATTCTACTTCCTAGGAATGTTCTCTAAGGATTTACATAAAGACCTAGTACCATCTGTGATTGTGTAAAATTGGAAAGTATCCCCATGTTCATTTCTTGGGGACAGATCAAACTGTAGCACGTGCAAGTATGCAGGTACAAAAGTCACCAATAGGGAACCTTAATGGCACACTCTAGACTGTTCCAAATAGTAGGCTATAAAACACAATGCATTGTATCATCCCCATATAATTTTTAAACTATATATGGCCCTTCTTGATATATATGGTTCTCTCCTTTCTCTATGTAGTATAACCAGCCACCAGGGCTGTTGGCCACTATCTCAGCAATAACTTCTAATGCCCTGTCTCCCCTCCTCGTGCCGTACCCCAGGTCTCTCCTCAGCTCCGTCCCCCGTCCCCTCGGAGGGCTCACAAGCATCTCAAAGTTAACATGGCCGATGGAACCCTTAACCTTCACCCACCACCGCGCCCCTGAATGCGCCTCCTCTGCTGCTCCCCATATCTGGGGGCCCGCTTCCCAGCGGTCAGACACTGAGTCCTGCTGATTCATCCTCTGGGCGACATGTAGAACCTGGCCACCACCACCTTCCTCCCTGCGCCGTCTTTCTCACCTCTGACCTCTGCGGGAGCTCAGCGTTCCCCTCCCGGGCCCTGCTTAACCTGGATCACCTCTGAAAATGCAGATCTGACCATCAGGACCTGGCCTGGACGCCTCAGGGACCAGGTCGCGGGCGTGATCGGGCGGGCCCCTGCCCAGCTCCTCTGCATTCTGGGTGTCGCTGCCTCGCCCACCATCCCCAAGCCTGCAGCTCGTTGTTATTCCATCCCGCTCAGAGCCTTCACACATGCTGTTCCCCTCAGTGCCTTGTCCTGATAACACCCATTACCTCCTTGGATCTCTGACGCCCAGCCTTGGTCGAGCTCTGGTAGTCACTCCAGCGCCCTGCCTTCTCCCTAGAAGCCCCGAGCACCATGGTAATTACTAGGTGCAAGGTAGTTTACGTAACTGAGAGCAGGGACCATGGCTGACCTATGCATTCCTGTATCTACAGCACTCAGCCAGTGCCTGGCACGGGACTTTCTTTTTTTTTTTTAAGATTTTATTTATTTTTAAAGAGGAGGAAAGGGAAGAAGAGGGGGTAGAAACATCGATGTGTGAGAGAAACATTGATCAGTTGCCTCTTGTACACACTCCAGCCAGGGACAAGCCTGCAACCCATGCATGTGTCCTGGCTGGGAATTGAACCAGCAACCTTTTGCTTTGGAGGATGACACTCAACCAATGAGCCACACTGGTCAGGGCTGGCATGTGATACTGATGAATGTGTTGTTATTTATCAATAACTTTAAAGACAGAGCTGTTCTTTGAAACATCGGTGGATTTCTGGGTGTGAAATTACAGGTGGCATTTTGTTCTTTGAACCTTTTCTGTGCTTTCTGTTTTGTCATCAACAATCAAGGCAATAACTCGTTTTGTCAGAAGGTATCAGTGCTGGGGACCAGGACTGTGTCTTCCCCACAGGATGCACTTGGACTCACGGCTGCCCTCCTGCCCTTGTCCCCCCAGGCCTGACGAGCGATGCGACAGGCATGATGGAAGTCGAGTCCTCCTACTCGGACTTCATCTCCTGTGACCGGACTGGCCGTCGGAACGCAGTCCCTGACATCCAGGGAGACTCCGAGGCCGTGAGCGTGAGGAAGCTGGCTGGAGACATGGGCGAGCTGGCACTGGAGGGGGCAGGTCAGGACGCCCTCAGCACCGCGCACGGCTCCCCACTCCTCCCCACTCCTCCGTGAGAACAGGCCCCACCCAGGCCTGGGGCCGCCGCCTCATGTCCAGGCTCAGATACCAGGGGCTCAGAAGGCTCTCCCTGGCAGCCGTCGTTGGCCCTCCCAACCACAGGATGCCTCAGCCCTCTGATGCGGCCTCCTGGGTTTAAACATGCGCGCCTCGGGAGCAGGGCCTTCTGTTCTGGGCAGTAGCAGGGGTTTGGAAACCACAGGCTGAAGAGGCGAACGGAGAAAGCTGCACCTGCTGTCCCTGCTGCCTCCACCCCATTCCCCCCTCCCCTCCCCTCCCCTCCCCTCCCCTTCCCTCCCCGTCCCTCCCCTCCCTCCCCTCTCCTTCCCCATCCCGAGTACAGGACAGAGAAGACTTTGTGGGGACACGCACCCAACCCCATCATGTTTTTTTATCTGGACAAATAGGCCCGGAGAAGCTGGGTGGCTTGCTCAGGTTACCTTGTTCTCCAGCAGGTTAACGCAGGAGGACCAGGCCGCCCCCAGCCCCCAGCCCCCAGCCCGAAGAACTGCACCCACACCCTCCTCTGTCCCGTCAGCCCTCCTTATCATGCGGCCCACACTCCCCGCCCCTGCGCACCAGCCTCCGAGGGTGTCACCCCGCCCCCTCACCAGCCCCCGCTCCTCTTTCTCCCTTGGTGCCTCTGATCCAGCGGAGGAAAGTACTTCTATTTCTTTTTTAACATTTATTTAAATATATGTATTTATTATTTATTTTTGGTTCCCCACAACTGCAAACCAAACCACCAGGAAGCAAAGTGACCTTTCGCTTGGCGGCGGCGGTGGGGGGGGGGAGGGTGACACCCAACCAAGCCACATCGTCAGGGCAGTACTTCTATTTCTGAAAAGCCCCTTGCAGGCTGAACACACCGCTCCCTCTGTCTGGCCTTCCCTGCTCACCCCTCCCGTCTCCCCCCGCCCCCCGCCACCACCCCGCCTCTGGCTCACTCTTGATTCTTAGAAACACCAACTGCTCTGCTGAGAGGCCTCCCTGACCACACCCGCCTCAGGCAGAGGGAGGCGCATCTTCGCGCCTCCAAGCTGCACTTAGCACAGTGCCCCCTGTCTAGGCTGTGAGTTTCTCCCACACAGGGTCTGTCTTGTGTCCTTGGTCCTGGCATCATTTGGAAACGATCGAGGTGCCTGGTCCGTGGCTGTTGACCGTGCGGCTGAATGAGCAGCTGCGGCCGGGGCGCACTGCCAGGGGCTCGTGGCCGGGGCTTCTGTATCCTCACCTCTGGCGAGCTGTGTTCTCCCTCTGCCCCAGCACTTGCAGCCCCTTGTTCGTGGGCCCCATCCCTTCTAATACCTGTTTCCCCCTCCACTTCGAAATCTCTGAAGCGTCTGTGTCCAAAGGTGCATGACATCTCCACAGAACTTTTCTGTATTTTTGACCCGTAGCAATCTGGATCACGTGGATTGTATGCATTTTTTAAAAAAAATCCTCATCAAAGGATATGTTTTTATTGATTTTGAAAGAGAAACATTGATGTAAGAAACATTGATTGGTTGCTTCCCATACGTGCCCCAACCAGAGATCAGACCCGCGCCCTTTCTGGTGTGCGGGGCACTGCTCCAACCAGCTGAGTCACCTGGCCAGGCTGAGTGCATGACAGTTTCCTTCCAGGGTGCCTGACATTCAGAAGGGGACCTGAGAAAGGCACCATGCTCGCTGCAAGGAAGCGAGGCACTCGGGGCGGAATGTGGGCCGCACTGGCCCGGGAGCGCTCCCGCAGCGGGGGAGAGTCCCCACAGCAGGCCCGCAGCCCTGCTCAGCCCGCAGACTTTCCAGGGAGGGGCATCCGAACAGTCTGATTCCATGGGCCTGGCTTAGAGTCTGCTTTCCTAAAGCGTCCCAGGGGACTGATGCACAGTATGTGTGTGCAAACCTCTGCCTTCCCTGATATTTCCTTATGTGGGGCGCACAAACATTTCCTTACTTGGCCTTATAATGAGAGAAACAACAGACAAGGCATGGAGCAGTAAGTGCACTGCCAGGCAGCGTGTGACCGTGAAACGTTTCCAAATGGTGCCCTAAAACTGTCCCGAGAGGTCCCAAGGGTGCTGATTGGTGAGGAAAGTGCTTAAAGGCCTTCTCCTCAGGCCAGGAGAGCTGGGACTGGCCCAGAGGAAGCATTGCCATTGGCTAAGACATTATCACATGTCCAATGGCCACAGGCAGGCCCAACGCACCTGTTGTGAGCAGGCAGAGGTGTCACCTTCCTCTCTTTAGAGATCAGGAAACAGACTCAGGGAGATTAAATGAATTGTCCATGGTCCCACAGCGAGGAAACGGCAGGGCAGAGGTTACTGCGCACTCTGACAAGACTTTTTCTGCATGCCAGCCGGAGCTCAGAGCCAACTTGGGCATCACAGGCTGGGAAATTTGCCCAGAGTGCCGTCTAGTTTGTCAGGCTTCTGGAGGGGCCGGGGGGACCCTCTGCGACCAAGCCTTTGCTACGGTTACCACCCAGGAGAGGAGGTGGCCTGGCAGGGAGCCAGATGTCCAAATTCTCCCTGTACCTCTTGCTACTGCTCACGCCCGCTTCCCAAGACTGCTGCAAGGGCAGAACGAGGCCGTGCCGAGGACGACAGCCCTGTGTGAACCCTAGAGAATGCCGCTTGGCAGAAGTCAGAATTCATGGGAGGGACGCTGGCTTCCTTCACCGCTCCGTCTCAGGCAAATCAGTTCCTCCCTCTCAGCCTCGGTTTTCTCACTCGTATCCTGCCCCTAATCACACCTCCAGGCTGCTGTGTGGATTGCATGGAGCTGGCACAGGGCGGTGGTGGTTAGTCATGTGAAAGGCGCAGCCTACGGGTGCAAAGACAGAGGCCGGAGCCGGCGCTGTGGCTGGTCTGGTGAGGACATGGCACGGCGAAGCAGCCATGGGCTCCACCCCTAACCCGGCTGCGGGCCGCACCCTGGTGCTCCCCTAAGCCGGGCCAGCCTGATGCCCGTTTCCGTCTTGCAGGAATTACCATTCTCGGAGCACGTGTTCCATGCTGGGGCCCCGTTTGCCCTCTCCTTCAGAAGGACCTACACAAGTATCTTGACCCTCAGCAGCCCTTTGCCTGGTGCTTTTAGCGCCCATCCACAGCCCTGGCCTTTGACTGTAATTATACTAGTGCCACCACATGCGTTTTGTAAGGATTGAATTGTCAGACCAGGCTGAAGTTCCCTTTGGCCACCACCACCCCCAATCCGCCCCTGTCTGCGCCCCCGGGGCTCGCCCACTGTCACCACTGTGGGCCCTTCCCGACCTCCTGTGCTTTACGTCTGTGTATGTGACCCGCTTCCTCTTCCCTCCAGAAGGACAGGTGGAGGCAGGCACCTCGGACAAGGAGGCCAGCAACCAGCCAGAGAGCAGCGACGGGACCACCTCATCTTGAGTCTGACCTTGCCCAGGGAGGCTGGAGAGAGACTGCTGTCCCCACCCGGACAGGGAGCCCTGGAGCTGGCCGGACAGCCTCTTCTCTGAGCCCCATGTTCCAGGCAAACAAGGCCAGACTGAAAGGCACCCCCAGAGGCCGCCGCGGCCCTTACCTGGGAAGGCCCTCCGCCCACACCCGCTGGCCCCGCACTACCACCTCCTCACTGTGCCCAGGTACACTTTCAAGACACTTTAACCGCAGGATGTTATTTTTCCATTGGCACCGGGACTCGGGGGCTGCGCCCTGCCCGCCTGGGTGAGCAGCCCCTCCCCCGAAGAAGGCTCCTCTCCTGGCGGCCTGGGCAGGGGCCACGCCCCTCTTCTCCGATCCCAGCCTCCTAGGCCAAGGCCATCTGATCTCTTTTTTGGAAAATCACTTTTAAACTTTTAAAAAATTTTAAACATTTTTCAGCAGAGAGGGAAGGAGCCGACAATCAATTCACTTTTGGTTTTTGAAAGCCATTTTAAGCTAAACTCTGAGCATCGGTGCAGCTCTGAGGTTCCCTCGTGGAGCTTCACAATCGGTTTTTAGGGAAGGGACTTTTGTGCTCAAAACTACCTGATCAACTTTGTGCCCTTTCTTTCTACCAAGATGAATAACACCTGGGACCCAGGAAATAAATGCTGATGATTTGTGTGATGGGTTTAAGATGATTGATTATTTCTCCTTGAAGCAGCAGAAGCAGGACTGGGCCTCGTTCTCATGAGTCCCCAGTCAGCCGGGACCCATTGCCGCCCCGGGCTTCCACAGAAGCCACCCCGCTCCTGGGCCTGGTGACCGAGGACCCTCCTTCCACCTCAGCCTCTCTCGCCGCAGTCTGCAGCTTCAGGAACCCAAAAGGAAGGTTTTCCCCTTAGAACCTAGACTAGAAGGTGCTAAGAGCTCAGGGAGCACCTAAGCAGACGGCTCCTCAAGCCTTGTTTCTTGGGGGAGCCAGGCCGTAGGCCCTGGGCAAGCTGCTCAAGTCTGGGAGCCCCAGCCGCTCCTTCTGTTCCCACCTCCCCCTGACGTCATCCTGTCCAAGACCACGTATCACACGCTGTGTGACGCCAGTCGTTGGCTTCTTTATTGAGCACCAGCTTTCCAGCAGGAGTCGCCCTGGGAGGAGGGTCCAGATTCACCCTGGCCCGGCACACAACCAGGGGAGAGACGTGACCGTGCCGAGGTATTTGTGGGTAGAGAAGTGGGAGCACTGACTTTGGAAATCATAGTCGTCCCAGGAGTAAAGGGGAGAGTGTCGTTCAACGCCCCAGAGCTGCGAAGTCTCCATCCACAGCGTGAGGGCCCAGAGGGGCAGCTGTGACATCTTCATGGATGCTGCCCTGCTGGCCAGGTCAGAGAAGCAGAAAGGTTAGGCAACTCAGTACCCAGGGCATTAAAAAAAGAAAAAAATCACAACATTAGAGCCAGAGAGGAGCCCCCAGGGGAGACTGGGGCTTAGAGCAAGGGACTGTCTTGCCAGGGCCACACCGGGAGGGCCAGAACAGAGTTAAGGCCTGGGCCCGACTGCCTGCCCTTGGCTTTGGGTGGCCATGCAGGTGCCCCAGACCAGCCTGAAGATAGCGTTACACAGAAAATAGACCGACCTAAGGAAAGGATGCCCAGCAGGGCCCTGTAACCAGGGAGGCACCACATGTCCCTAGTGCTACCCAAGAGAGGGAGGACAACTTGCTCGAGGTCCCCCAGAAGCTCAGACAGGAACACACCTGCAGAGTCCGAAGGCGACATCCCGTAGGCTTTATAGAGCTGATTCAGTAGCTCCCTCTTCTCATCTTCTGGGAGGAAACTGGACTTTGCTGCATTGATGTTCTGGAAGGGCCAGAATGGCAGACAACATGGAACCAGTGAATATGGAAGGGAGCACTTGGCAATCTAATGATAGTCCACTCTCTTCACTGAATATGGGCGGTTAATTAAGTTCAGAGGGGAAGGGACTTGTCCAAGGTCACATGGCGGCAACTGCCAGAGGGGAGACCATGAGGTTTTGTGTTCTCAAAGTGGCACCCCAGTGTGAGAACGAAGCTGGAGAGACTTCGGGAGGCAGGGTAGGGTGGAGGGGGCCAGAGAGAGACTTCTGCGGAGCCAAGGTTGGGGAATTGGAACACCTGAAAACCAAGGGCCCAACCTGGGATCTATGAATGGCATGAAAACGTGTGCAGAATTTTAAAGCTGACCACACTTTTTTCAGGGGGTTGGAATGGGGTAGATGGCTTTCATCAGATTCTTCGAGGGCAGGCAACGGATAAAACACGTGGCCCTGGGTCAGGATGTCACTCTGTGGAAGGCACGCAACTCTAGGTCTGGCTTGGCCGGGCCTGTTGACTCCTCATTCTAGAGGTCCCGAGCCCTGCAGGCCTCACACGTGCCAGGCCCGGAGTCGAGGCCGACGGCCCACAGCCGCTCACCAGTCTCTTGAACTCCTCCTCAGTGAAGCCCATGTCCCGTTTGGTCATCTGGTAGTCCGTGTCCAGGGTGGACTTGAAGATGAGCGGGTCATCCGTGTTGATCGAGTAGTTGGCCTGGTCGTTTTTGAACCTGGGTGGGGGGAGGAGGGAAAAGAGCCCCCCTCACTCTGCTGTGAACAGGTGCCTCAGGTCAGCCTCCTTGAGCCTTGCCTCGTCCTCAGACACACCCGGGAGACACACCAGTCCTCATCCAGAGAACCTGGGTGACTTGTCCAAGGCCACATAACTAGCAACTCAGGCTCCACACCCTCCCATCAGGCTGGAGCTGAGCAAAGGCAGGAGAGAGCCGGGCAGAGGCCACACAAGCCACACGCCCTCCAGCTCCCACCCCTGCTCGCCTGTCCCTTCGCCGGTATTCTGGGAGGTTGTCTGCACCCTGCCCCAGTTGTCCTCAATCCGTCTGAGCTCTGCTCTTCAAGTACACTGTGGAAACCGTGGCACGATCCCAGGCCACTGTCGTTAAATCCAGGGGACCTCGCCTAGCTCTCACTGCGCTGGACTTGCGTAGTCTTGTATGCTCTTGAAGGGTGGTGGTGGGCAGACCTTTGGCTTCCCTCCTACCTGCCTCTTCTGCCTGTCCTTTACACGTCACTCCCCTCTGGGTTCTCTCCCAGGCCCTCTTGCTCCCCATCCCTGAGGTCACCGCTTCCCCCTCCTACCACTATATCTGTGTAGATGACTCTTGGGTCTTTCTCCAGCGCACAGGCTGGTGCCCCCAGGAACCTCCGCCTGGACAAACGGCAGGTACTGCGCGCTCCCGTCTCCCAGAGCAGCTCGCAGGGTCCCCATATAACTGACATCAGAGCCCAAGCTCCTTCCCTTTGCATCAGCTTGGCAGACCATGGTCACCATGAGTCCTTGCTGTCCTCACCCTGTGTTAGGGAAAGGCAGCTTTGCCCTGAGGCCTGAGGCCACTCCAAGGCTCAGTCACAGAACAAAGGCCTCTGCGTGCGTTGGACTACAGGGTGGCAGCAGGACGGGACAGGCCCTCCGGGGGACGCCTCAGGCCGGTGCTCAGGGGAGTGCCCATAGGGGCCCGGAGTGGAGACCCTGCGAGCAGGGGGACTCCTCTTCTGGACCCCTGGGGGCAGGAGCTGGGGGGGGGCATTTCTCTCCGGCAGCAGGACGTCCCAGTCCACTCCCCGAGCTGCAGGTCCCACTCTGCTCTTTAGTCGAGTCACAGCACATCACATGGGCTCCCTCCCTTGTAAGCTGAGAGGGATAACGCCGGCTTCCCAGGGACTTGGACAGACTTGTATGGAGACCCAGCATGGCTGGGGCCCAGCCCCGGCCTTTTCTCCCTCCCCCGGCTCTCCTGGTACAAGACTGAATGGCCCCAAGGGAGTGAGCCTCACCGAATGACCGGGTGCTCTGTGTCCGGCTTCCAGGCGCCCGTGAGGTAGCTGGACCAGGGGCAGACCTGGAAGAGCAGGCGTGGGCTGGCAGGGACGTCCGCAGGGCACGCAGACCCCACCCCCCACGCCCTGGGACTGGAGCCACCTGCTCTGGCCACAGTCGCACTGGCCTCCCCGCTGCTGAGTCCCATGAGCCCACCCATCCCAGCCTTCCTCCTCCACCTCGCAGCTTTGGTGCCCACCCCCACGCCCGCCACAGCCTGCCCTGCCCGGCTCCCAGGCCCCTCCTGCCTCTCCACCCCGGCCTCCCAGGCACCTCAAAGTGCATGTTCTGCTGTCGCAGCCTGTTGTAAAGGGCCTCATCCTCCAGGGTATGGTAGCCATGTCCCAGCCTCTCTGTCTTGAGCATGTCCACAGCCTGCAGAGCAGCGGACGGGCGCTCAGGAAGGGGTCGGGCAGAAGTAGGGACAAGGGACCCACAGCCCACCCAGCCTCCTCACCTCTTTCACCACCTCTGCAGAGCCAACCTCCCCGGCATGGACCGTGCGGTGAATGCCGCTCTTCACAGCCTCCTGGAAGGACAAGAGCCAGATCAGGGGTGGCCTTGGGGAGGCCCCCGGCCTTCCCCGCACTTTGGGTCTGAGTTTCGGCAGGTGAAGCGTGCCCACGGTCAGGCTAGCCGCTGCGGGACAGAGAAGCCTGGCCTTCATTATTATTTCAGTTGAGCTGTCCTCCATTAGACAGCTGTGTGGCAGGTACTATATGAAATGCATTGCATACATTATCCAACACTCACTACTGTTATCTATTTTAGAGGGGGTCATGGGACACTGAGGCTCAGGGAAGTTAAGGAACATGACCAAAGGTCAAACAGGAAGTGGGAAGCCACGTGGTGACGCTCCAGAGCCCCGATGTTTAACCCCTTCCACGAAGAGCTGGGACAGCTGCTGCCAACAGGCCCAGAGGAGACAGACTCACCCGAGGTCACACGGCAAGTCACAGGGAGGCACAGGCAGCCAGCCTCCCAACGGCATGTAGGGTCTTTATACCATGTCCACAGTTCCTGGAGCGTGTCCACCCCCACCCCCCAGACCCAACTAAGATACCTGGGAACCCAGGAGACCTCACACTGCCCAGTCCCTGTGACTTCGCCCTACGGTGGGTAGGGACAAGCTTCTCCCACGGTCTGCCCAGTGCCAGCCTCTCCCCACCTCCCTGCCACGGGACCCACTTCATAGGCCGCCATGTGTCCCGGGAAGAGGCTGCTTCCTTTGATGGTCTCGTCTCCAGCCAGATCCATGGCCACCACATTCTGGTGCCGGTACTTCTTACACAGCTCCACCACCTCGGGGGACCACTCTGTGGGCAAGATGCCCACCGGGGCTCTGTCAGTGGCAGCGGCCGGGAAAGAGATCCTTCCAGAACACCTGCTTGCCGCCCCATCCCATTTACCTTGCCTTCCCAACCCCCCCGGGAGGCCAGCTCCAGACCCCGACTGCTACAGCCTAACTGCAAGGCCTGCGGCAACCTGCTCCACCCAGTGCCTCGGTCCCCTCTCCTCTCAGAGGGACTCCGCCGGCTACTGCACAGGGTCACGGCGAGGCTCCCCGAGATCCTGTGTGTCAGTCACTGAGGGCAGGGCCTGGGCTCAGTACACAGCAGATGGCCGTTCTCCTTTGTCCCCACAACAGCCATCATGGTGGGCTCCTCCCCGATTAGGTGAGGAGGCGGAGGCCCACACAGTTTTTTAAATCTAACACGTAACTCACTGGCATTACTAAACGTATCGCTCATGTACTACAGACTCAACCAATAAAGTCATCACAAAGTGTTTAAAAAAGAAAAAATCACAGGCCCTGGGTTCCCATCTGAGCTTTCTGCCTTCCTCATTGAGGAGCAAGAGGCTTCCCCTCTCTTCCTCAGTTTCCTTGTCTGTCAAATAGGATAAACGATGGTTGCTCTCACAGGCTGCAGCAAGGGCTGGAGAAAATACGCATAAGTCGCTCTGCACGGGGAGGCCCGACAGGTGGGCCCGACAGGTGGGCGGTAGCCCTTTGCTGTGGTCCGCGGCGGAGGAGGTGAGCACCACCACCTCCTGTGGCAACGCGTATCTGCGGCCCCAAGAGGCGATACGCCTCGCCTGAGGTCACATGGCGGGGCTCTGCACCTCGGAAGTCCCAGCCATGGGGAGTTGACCAGTGTCAGTCACAAGGGAGACCTCTCAGACCTCAGGGATCAGACCTACTCATGGGCCCTATGGCCTAGGCCAGAAGAGGCCTGGCCCACAGGACTTCAGGGAGAGCCGTGAGCTGTTCAGAACGTGGCTTAGATTGTTTTCTATTGTCCAGGCTCCTTCGGTTCTGAATCTCCTGCAGGTCATGTGGCTGCAAGGCCTGGTCTCCCGAGGGAGAAAAGCCTTTGTTGCCAGGAAGTTGTGAGTCTGCCCAGGGGGGCTCTGATGATGTCAGGAAGCCCTACAGTCCAGCTAAGGGACTCAAAGCGGGTACCGGGGCAGCATCAGGACAGGAGGTTGGGGTCGTCGTCAGAAGTACAGCCCAGGGCAGGGCCAAGGTCATACTCACTGGGCTCATGGCGCATGCAGCACAGGATGGAGCGCACCTTCACCTTGAAATCTCGCTCTCCCTCCTGCAGGCCTTGGTTCACTAGGGCCACCACCTCGTCTGGGGTGAGGTCCCCTCTGTATGGGGAGATGAGGAGGGATGGGCCTGAGACAAAGGAAGGTCTAAAGGACGGCACTGGGACTGGGACAGAGGAGAAAGAAGAGGAGGGTGGGGAAAGGGGGGAAGGGAGGGGAGGACGAGGAATCTTCCAGAAGCTTCCTCTCCCCACCAACCCACTGCCTCTGAGAAAAGAGTGAGGGAGATGGCCCAGGCCCAAGCCCTAGCACAGCCCCTTCCAGCTTCCTTGGAGCTGCCTGGGCACTTCAGACTTGGAGGATGTCCTAGTGGGGCGGGGCGGGGGCGGGGGGTGTCTGACACAGCCCTGCCCCCAGATGGGAGCACTGCTAAGCTCACCTGGTCTGATTCCCACTTGCTCACGTGTATCAGAGTTATGGCTAGAAGGAGGCAAAGTGGTTGGGTAACAGCACTTAGAGATCCCTGGGGGTCCAAGCAGGGGGACAGGAATGGGCCGGACTCACTTCGGTTGCGGGGTTAGAGCAGGACTCCTGGAAGTCCCTGGGTAAGCGGTGTTTCTAGGCTTCAGGCCTGTGTCTAGGACTAGGGGTGACAAGACACAGCCAAACGCTTTCTCCCAGGGTAAAAACAGAAGTGCCAATGAGGGATGGGAACCCTGTCTGTCATGCCAGCTGAGCCCATCTTTCTGAGGCCACAGATCGGATCGGGGGTAAGACTGGAGGCTTGTTGGGTCAGGGCCTCCCAACAGCCTGCCGCTCGGGTCCCAGGTTGGGCCACCCTGCCACAGCCCTGGGGCAGCCCTCCAGGCGGTCACTCACTCGGCCTGGTTCCAGGGGATCGGCTCCACCTTGGAGTTGGCCAGAATGTGCGGGCTGTAGCGCACCTCCACGTACACCACGCCCTCCTTGGCCTTCATCTCAACAAACTCGTAGGCGATCCTTTTGATGGCTTCCCGGCAGCCCCTGGGAAGGGGAGAGAGTACTTGGGACAACCTTCTCCGATGTCCCATCAGAGCTCCAGGAACAGCAAGACCATCCCAGCCCTTGGAAGATCAAACCCATTTCTGGTCTCCCAGCCCTTATCCTCCATTGCCAAGCTCCGGGCATCCACCCAACACTGGCTAGAAGCTCAGCCAGTCTTGCCAGCTCTGCTTCCAAACTGTAGGCCACCTCTTGTCCCCTTTACCCTGGTTCTCACCACCTCACCTCTCTAACAGGCCTCCCTGACTCCCTGCCTCCCGGTAACTGTTTTTCTCACGGCAGCCAGAACAATCTTTTACAAACCTACATCCAGGCATATCACGCCTCTGAATCCCAATGGCTTCCATTGCGTGGAATGAAATCCCAACTCTGCTGCCTGGCCCACAAGGCCTGTAGAAGCTGCCCCCGCCAACCTCCCAGGCACCACCCCCTCACACACTCGGCGAGCCCACCAGAAGCTCATTCTCTCTCAAGGGGCAGTCGAGCTTGTTCCCACACCTGGGCCTTTGTGTTTGCAGCGCCTCAGCCTACATGCTTTCTTCCCCCAGATCGTCCCGTACTCTCTCCACCTCTGACTTTTTAAATTTTATTGTACTTTAGAGAGAAAGGAAGAGAGGAAGGGAGAGAAATATCGATGTGAAGGAGAAACATCGATTGGTGCCTTCTGCAAGTGACCCAACCAGGGACGGAACAAGGAGTCTGCAACCCAGGCATGTGCCCTGACTGGGAATCGAACCAGAGACCCTTCGGCTTGCAGGACGGTGCCCAACCGAGCCACGCTGACCAGGGGCCTCTCTGGCATTCTCCACCCCATCCCCTGGACTTTACTTTTCTCCATGGCCCTTATTACCATCCGACATTACACATCACGTGGTTTATTAGCTCATTTTCACCTCGCCTGCTAGAAGGCAGTTGCCACGGGACAAGGACCCCTCCACTTGTCTTGTCACGGCTACATTCCCTCAGCCCAGGACAGAACCTAGGACATAGTGGCCGCTCAGCATTTGTTGAGTGATGGATGTAGGCCAGCAGGGATGAGATATAAGAGTACAGGGGACACACAGGCCACAAAAGCAAAAATAGACAAGTGGGACGGCATCAAACTTAAAAGCTTTTTGCACAGCAAAGGAAACCATCAACAGCGTGAAATGGTAACCTATTGAATGGGAGAAAATATTCACAAACCATTCCATCAAAGGGGCTAATATCCCAAATATATAAAGAACTCCGTAACTCAACAGCAAAAACCAAATGACCCAATTTAAAAAGAGACAAGGGACCCGACTAGACATTTCCCACAAGACATACAAATGGCCAGCAGGTACATGAAAAGGTACCCAACATCACTAATCATCAGGGAAGTACAAAAATCAAAACTACAGTGAGACACCACCATCTTTTTGATGGCTACTATCAAAAAGAGAGGCCAAGACATGGCAGACGTGGGCGAGAAAATGGAACCCTTGGCCGCTGTTAGCCGGAATGTAAAGTGGTGCAGCCACTGCAGAAAACAATATGAAGGTTCCTCAAAAAATTAAAAATAGAACAACCATATAATCCATCAATCCTACTTCTCAAAGAGGTACCTGCACTTTCATGTTCATTCATTATTCATAACAGCCAACACCTGGGAACAACCCAAATACCCACCCATGGGTGAGTGGATAAAGAAAACTTCTCAGCCCTGACCAGCATGGCTCAGTGGGTTGATCATCGTCCTGCCAAGCAAGAAGTTCCCACTTTGGTTCCCTGTCAGACCACACGCCTGGGTTGCGGGCCTGGGCCTGGGCCTGGCTGGAGGCGTGCGAGAGGCAGACAATTGATGTTTCTCTCACACATTGATGGTTCTCTCCCTCTCCCCCTCCTTCCCTCCCCCTCTCTCTAAAAATATAAATAAATAAAATCTATTAAAAAATGTCTCACACATACAGAGAAATATTATTCGGCCTCAAAGAAGGAAATCCTGCCATTTGCAACATGAATGAATCTGGAAAACATTATGCTAACGGAAAGCAGCCAGGCAGAGAGAGACAACTACTGCATGATCTCACTTATATGTGGAATCTAAAATAATTGAACTCATAAAAGCAGAAAGTAGAATGGTAGTTGCCAGAGACAGGAAGGCAGGGGTGGGGAGATGTTTGTCAAATGGTACAAAGTTTCAGTTATGCAAGATGAGTAAATTCTAGAGACTTATTATTGAACAAGTGACTATACATAATACTGTATTGTCTAGTTAAAATGTGCTAAGATGGTAGAACTTAAGTGTTCCTAACCACAAACAAAAAAAGGTGACTATTTGAGGTGATGGATTAGTTAACTAGCTTGATTTGGTAATCATTTCACAATGCATGTGTATATCAAAACATCTAGTTGTACACCTCAAACATATACAATTGCTATTTGTAAATTTTGCTCCAATAAAACTAAAGAGAGAAAAGGCCACAGATGGACAAATCCAGAGGAATTCTGGGATGGGAGAGATACCTGGAGCTCAGACTTGAATCCTGGTTCCCACATTTATCTGCTGCGTGACTCCAGTTAGTCACCTTCTCTGACACCTACATCAAAACTTTATTGTGAAGACGAATGAGGTAAACCTCATAAAATTCACCGGAGCCAGCGCTTGGAGCAGAACAGACAAATGCTCCAAGTGTTTTAGTTGTTATTTCTGAGTGTTGGCTCCTGAAACAAGGTACAAATTAACCTGCAGGGGCTACTGTGAGTGCTGATCAAACGACAGTGGACTGTGTCTTAGCTGGAAGTTTCCGCCGTGAAGAGTGAAAAAGGAACAGTTAGTAGAAAGCAATGTGTGGGGAAATCGGCCACTCCCAGGAGGAGGCTCGTGGAAGGACCCGTGCCTTTGAGAACCAGGATGCGGGTGGGCAGCTGCTGCGGGAAGTCCCTGGGGGAGGGGGTGAGCCCTGGGGGTGGGAGGGTGGGGGTCCTTATCTCGCCCACGGCTGTGGGACTCACTCCCCACTGTGGCCGACGCTGCCCCAGGCGCAGGGGATACAGCAAACACGGCAGACAAGATCCCTGCGCTCACCCAGCCTACAGTCCAGTGAGGGAGACAGGAGAGTAAATAAGTAAAGTATAAACCATATCACAGGTCAGATGGTGAAAAGTCTTGTGGACACACATAACGCAGGAGTGGGGAGCACGGGCCTGCAATTTGCAGCGGTGTGAGCAGGGCCTCGCTTTGAGAAAGCAACACCTGAGCAGAGACGTGAAGGAGGCGAGGAGGTGAGCCCCGGGGCGGGGCGTCTACAGGGACAGCGTTCCAGGGAGGGAGAGGCAATCGGCAGTCCCGGAGGACCGGACCGAGGCCAGGGTGTGTGAAACACCCGAGGTGCCTCAGGGGGCCGACGTGGCCGGACAGGGTGGGCCCGGGGACCACTGGCAGGTGATGAGGGCTCCCACCTGACGACCTCTGTGGATGCAGGCAAGCGGGCGGGGGTGGGGGGCAAGCTGGAGCTCAAGGCCACGGCCCCAAGCGGCCAGGCAGCTCTGCAGGAGGTGACCCCCAGCAGCCCGGGTGCGCTGGGCCTTCAGGGAGCTGGGCCTCTTCTGTCATGGGGCCAGAGAGACAGGAGCTGCCACAGGGCAGCATGGCAGAGGCTCCTGGGCCTGCTCCTATAACCTGGGGGCGAGGTGGGGGCGGTGTCTTGGGAAATGCAGCACAGGTCTCCAGGAAGGTGACACGTGTCTGCTTACCAGAAGCAAACACTGGAATAGTCACTGCCTTCTGGGCTGAGCCCAAAAGCTTCCAGCATGAAGTCAGCCACTTGCCACGCACCCGTCCCCAGGACTCCTTGTACTTGTTCTGCTTAACCAGCCAATGCTGCTCCCTGCCTCATACATCTGCTTTGCTGATCCTCCAACAACCATGCTTGGCCCATCCTCCAAGGCTTTCCTCAGGCCCACCCCTCGGGACAATATTACACCCTCTCCGTCCCACAGCTGGGTCTATACTGCCTCCTCCAGGCAGCCCTTCCTGACTGCCCCCGGCTCCTTTGCCTGCCCCACCCCTGTCCTCAGCTCCCCTGGCACCGACTGCCAAGGCTGATCCTTGCCTGCCTTTGGAAGCTCTGCCTCTTGTGAGGAAGCTCAAGATGGCACTGAGGCAAGAATCTGGGCTTTATCCCCTGCTAGCTGTGGGGTCCTGGGCAAGCCCTTCCACTTCCCTGGGCCTTTATTCCAACCTCTGGGAACAAGGAGTAAGTCCACCTAGCAGGCCTGTGGACTACAAAGAGTGTAGTTCTGTGAGCTGCACATAAATTATATTCCTCTATGTCTGGGATATTCTGCTATGAAAAAATAGAAGGAATACGTAATAACATAAGATCACCAATGCCTGGCTGTCAATAAAGGCAGCAGTTGTCTCCACGGAGAGAGGGGGCTTGCTGAGGACAGTGCTGTGTCCAGTCCAAACTCCAGCCCTAGGAGCTGGATGGGATCATACAGCCCAGTGTCTAGAGACTAAGCCCCGAGAGGGAATTTGCCCAACATTATTTCATGAGAGAGTCTGAGATTAGGATCTGTGTTCCTAACCCCTACATTCCATCACTTCTCTATAGAAGCTGAAGGCATTTCAGTCGATCACACCCACTTTCCAGAGGAGACCATCGAGGCCCAAAGGTACCGAGTCAAGTAAGGATACAAATGGTGAGAAGCAGAGCTGGGGTCTCCTGCACCACAGGCTGAGGTACAGGCCTCCCAGGCACAGGGATGGACGCTGCCCAGGGCCCGAGGGCAGGGAACTCACGCGATGGCAGGCATGTAGTAGTTGAACTTGGCCAGGAAGCCCGGGAGGCTGACCGGCTTGTCCATGCCGATGATGTTCTGCAGCTCCTCAACGGTGTCAGCTGGGAGCGCGACCCCTCTCTTCCTGAGGACCAAACAGGAGGGTGATGGAGCGCCGCTGGCGGGGGAGGACCGGACCGACTCCCCGGGGGCCCGCAGCAGGAACCCCGAGGGCCTCTCCATCCACCTCCACCCACGGGGCAGACGGGAAAACCAGGGTGCAGGGCATACAGAACCAGGACCAGAGCTTTTCCAGCACCTCCTGTCCCCAAAGCCATAACCAGCCAGTGTATTTCAAGGGGAGCAACTGAGGTTAAAGTCTGTTTGTGTGCACGGACATGGACAAACACACACGCGCACTCGCCTGGGTCCAGGGAAGGTGCCAGGGCAGCAAGCCCACAACTTCCACCTCCGCCCCAAGAGCGGGCACAACTGGTCCTATGCCAGGTCAGGGGCTATCAGGGGCAATACTACAGGGCAGGGGCAGGGCAGGGGCAGGGCCGGGACAAGCATTGGACCTCCTGCTTCTCTGCTCTCTGTCCGGATGACCTATCAGAGAGGCTTGTCTGGCCCCGTGTCCTGGGAGAGGGCCGGCTAGCAGGCTGTTGACCTCACAGTCCCTCCCCTCCCACAGTCGCACAGTCGCCCGACTCGGGAAGGCCTGGCACCTCTGCCTCCGCAGCCGGGCAGCAGGCCCCGGCCCCCGCTGCCCGCCCTGGCTCTGCCCGGCTCACAGGTCATCCTGCGCCACTGTTCTCCCGCTTTTAAGATAAGAGACAGAAAAGAATACCAGACACTCAAGAAATGCTTCTACCACGAGGGACAGAACAGGAGACAAAAGGAGATCTGAGGAAACAAACGAAAAATTGCAGAAACCTTAAACCCTAAAATGAGCATCCTCAAGGAGAGGAAGGGACAGTACATCCTTGAAACAAGAACATCGCTTTCTTTCAAAGGGGACATTTAGAGAGGAAGAAAGAGCTGTTGGAAATTTAAAAGAACATGGCAGCGACCATCAGGAGGTAACTGAAGGCATGGAAAATAAAGGTGAAAAATCTTTCAGCAGGTAGAACAAAAAGAGAAGATGATTAAAAAAAAAAAAAAAGGCGTGGGGAGAACTCGATGTCTTATTTCCTGCCAATGTCATCAGTTTGGCTCAAACTCGTAAAAATTCTCTAAAAAAAAGAAAAACTACAAGCAAATGGCGAAGAACACTAGACGAGTAAATCAGGAGGTTCCTCTGAGCGGTGAGCACACGATGTGCGGTGCGCACACGATGTGCGGTGCGCACACGATGTGCGGTGCAGATGAGGTTTTATTGAGTTGCGGACTCGAAGCCTCTACATGTGCAGGGGTGTCTGACCCTTTGGCGTCTGTGCGCCACTCTGGAAGAAGAGTCGTCATCTTGGGCTGCACATTAAATACATTGTGACGTGTAATCACACAAAAAAATCTCATAACATTTAAAGTAAATTTATGACTCTGTCGGGCCGTATTTATGGCCATCCTGGGCCGCGTATGGCCCACGGGCCACGGGTTGGACACCCCACGCTGCGTTATTAACCAATGTCACCCCAGTAAATTCAATTTTTAAAAAAATCAGGGTTCAAGCATCCAGTTATCCCCAAAGCAAGATGACAGGAGGAGGTAGTTGCCAAAGAAATGGAAGTTTGACTAAACGGCGTTTAAGTCCCTTAATGGCTTCTGTTGCTCAAATATTAAAATGTTTTCCTCCCTAAATAGCTCCTCCCTACACCCCCTAAATGTGCCCTCCTCCCCTTCGGGTGGCTCCAGTCCCTGTGCGTGCTCGGTGGGTATCACCAGGTGGTGTCTCCGGTGCTGTCCTGGCCCCGAGGTCAGGCGCTCGGTGCCCGCGGGGCCTCCTCCCCGCGCTGGCCGGCCTGCCCCGAAGTCCCCCTCGCGGGGGCGCCCCCGGGCCCGCAGCCTCTGCAGCGCCTGCCCTGGCCGCTACACACTGTATTTTGAACATCTCCCTGGGAGCCGGTGGGCAAGGCAGAGGAGGTGGTGCTAAGGTTCTGGCTCCCATACTGGCACATTCAGTGACCGCATGCCTTGGACCCCACCGCTGCCAGTTGGGGCGCTGCCTCCTGACCATTCTCTCCCAAATCTCCTTTCTTGGATTTCAGCCCATGGTCCAGAAGTCCACAGTTCCAACTCCCTGTCTCCACACGCCGTCTGAGAGCCTTTGATGTGCCGGGCGGTGAACGGACAGCAGCGCCTGAGGTAGACCTGTGTGCCTGACCACCCCCTGAAGGCGGGCGCTGTGTCTCCTTTCCCCTCCCCATCCCGGGCTCCACATTTCCAAGCATGGCTCTTCCATCTAACCACCAGACCAGAGACAGGGGCCTTCGCCCAACTCCATCTCCCTTGTCCTCTTCCCACCACAGCGGGCAATGCGCCTACAAGGAGTGTGGCCACAGAGAGCCCGGGGAGGAGGGCAAGCTCAGGCGTTGGAGTTTGAAGTCCACGCCTGTGTGTGCCATACCACCCTGGGCAGGAGCTGTCCCCTCTGAGGACCTCCACGTCCTCAGCAGTAAAACTCAGCATTTTCTTTGCAAATGCAGAAGAACACGTGAGGCTATTTATGTGTCCTGGGAAAGAGCAGACTCTAAAGCCAGATGGCCTGGGGTTGAATCCCAGCTCTGGTGTAAAGGCTGTGTGACCTTGGGCAAGTTACTCACCCTCTCTGTGTTTAGGCCTGGCATATTTGAGAAACACCCGGGGTGGACTAAGCAAGGAGCAGCAGAAGAGGTCAGAGATATCCCTCGGGCTCTGTGGAACATTCGGGCCATGAGCAGACTCTGGCTTTGACCCTGAGCGAGGTGGGAGGGGCTGGTGAGAGGGTCTGAGCCAGGGAGTGAGCTGATCAAGTCATGTTTTGAGACAACTGCTGTGACTACGGTATCGTGGGGATGGTAGAGGGGGGGTGGCCGGAGAGGACACCTGGAGACCAGTCAGGGGCCATCTCAATGGTCTAAGCGAGGGACTGGTGGAGGCTCAGACAGGGCGGTGACAGGGCAGAGAGAACAGCCAGATGCAGAACGTGCCTTACAGAAAGAGCAGATGGGGCCGTGAAGGAGACCGAGAAGAGAGTCAGGAAAAGGCCCCAGGGAGCAAGGACTCCCAGGAAGAAATGGGCGAAAACAGAATCGGTGCAGGCCCCAGAGGCAGAAGGGGAGCTGCTGGGTTTGGGGCGCAGGTCACGGGCCAGACACTCCCCTCCTCCCATCGCCCCCCCCCCGGGGGTCCTCCAGGGCTCTCCACACCGATCAGACCCTCTCGCTGCTCCCCCGCTTGCTGGCCTGAGCTCAAACTCCAGCTGGCACCTGCACCCTGTCTCCAGGGCCAAGACTCTTCCCGGGACACCCAGGAGACATGGGACATGGAAAATCCGACCCGCCACCCAGCACTGGTGGCTCCTTTCCCTCCACCCCGCCTGGCCCTCTCGCTGAGTTGTCACGCTAGTGAGTGCTCTATGACCCCTTAATACGTGCCCTGATTAGGTCCCATCTTGGTCCCCGATAACCCACCCTAATGGCTTCATTGGGGCCTTGAGGCAGTGGCTGGCCCTCAACATGGTAAGGGACAGGCAGAGATAAGCGCAGGGCTTTACCCAACTTATCAGAGCCATTGTCATGATTAAAGACACTATCATCATTAAGTGCCTTTCCTGCAGTCCTGAGCTGAGTGTTTTCCCTGCTGGACTTCACCCAAACCTCTAGTGGCAGGGGTGCGGGTCAAGGGCAGGGACCTGGTCACAGCTGTGCTTACTAGACAAGTCACTTCATCTATCATGGCTCAGTTTCCTCCATATCTGTAATATAGGGACAATAATGGTATCTACCAACTGTCACAAGCAATTGGCAAGTTAATCCAGGTGTGTTGGCACACAGTAAATGTGAACATAGTTTTATAGTTAAAGTCAATCAACAGCCGCTTCCTAGAGCGAGATGGCTGGACGTGGGACAAGGTGGAGCAAAGTGTGCTCTTGCAGAACTCACTCTGGGAGTCAGAGCTGCTTCTGCAAGTTAGGGGCAAGCTCCAAAAGCCGCGGCTCTCCTCCCCGGAGCAGTGAGGGACTGGCAGAGCCCTTCCCGCTCCAACAAAATGAGCATTGGGGGAACTGTGAAGTGAGAACACAGTCTGCCAAGGGGGTGGGGAGTGGGCAGAAGGGGCCCCCGCCTCCCAGCTCAGCTCTTACCCTCAACCTGCAGAGGCAAAGGCACAGCAAGAAAGCTGTGTGTGGATTTACATCCAGATCTGGTGGCCTGTGAAGTCCCTGTGTTCTAGGTGCTGGGCGCCACAGAAGGGCCGCCGCAGGAGTGTGGGGAGGGAGGTGTGGGCCTCCCTCGCTGGGGGGCACAGGGGGCCCTTTGGCCCACCCGTGCCCACGGGAGCTGAGGTAGGAGGCGTGTGTCCTTGGAAGAGGCAGAGCTGGGATCAGAGAGGGAGCCCCTTCACCGCTCCCAGTAGCTTATCTCTGTGGCGACGTAGGAAAATCTGTGGCAGTCGGCTGGCCTGTCAACCTTTGACTCTGCCATTTATTCACCGTGTGGCCTTGGGCAACCGCCTTCACTTCTCTAAACCTGCTTTCTCCTCAGTGGGGTGCAGATAGCAACACCCTCCTCCTGTGTGGGTGTATCACCTGCCACCAGTTCTCTGCCAAAAAACAGGGACTGGTTCAGCCCTGGGAGCTGCTTCCCGGGGCGGGGGTGCGGTCCGTGTGTGAGGCAAGGCACACTCCCCTTGGCTCACCTGGAAGCAGAAAGACAAAAGTCCAAGGCACCGAAGGCACAAGATGTGGGCTGCGGGTCTCCAGCTCGGAGACCCGCCCCTCTGGCCAGGGGCTGGCCTGATTGCACAGGCATACAGGAGGGGGCAGCAACGCTGGGATTCTCTAGCATCCCCACACTGGGGACCCTGCCTGAATCCTGGGAAGGAAAGCCTCTTATCTGTGGACGTACCTGCCATAGTACAAGATGGTTTCGAGCTTGATAGATCCATCGAGGTGGACGTGCAATTCTACCTGCATGGGGCAAAGGGAAGCAAGAGAGAGAGCACACACCCGTGAATGCCTGAAGGGCTTTTCAGAGAGTTGGTATTAACATTAACTGTGGCAGCCATTAGTTACTCTTTATTGGACACTTACATACACGTCACTGAACTCTACACACACCATCTTGTTTAATCCTCATCTGTGGGCTGGGTTTGTTTCTCTCTCATTCACAGCTGAGAATACTGAGGTTCAGAGAGGTCCCAGAATTTGTCCAAGGCCACACAGCAAGCCAGTGACGGAAGCAGGAACCCAACCCAGTGCCTTTGGGCTTAACCACAACCAATAAGTGACAGAACCAGAATTCTACCCTGAGCCCAATCCCGAAGCTGGTGCTCCCACAAGCGAGGCCAGCCACAGTCCCCTCAGAGCTACCAAGCCGCAGCTGCCACCCAGGCAGACCCCGTCCTCAGACAACTCGCTGAACAAACTCCAACTTTAACACTGAGGGTTGACCACAGACTTCCTGGACTAGTGAATTGTGTGGCATATTTCAAAAATCAGGCCCCACTTTCTTCTTCTTTTTTTTTTAATCTTAACCTGAGGACATTTTTTTTCATTGCTTTTAGAGAGAGGAAGAGAGGGAGGGAGAGAAACATCAATTGGGTGCCTCTTTGTACATGCAGCCCCAGTAGGGATCGAACAAGCAGCCTTTTGATCTACGGGACAGCACTCCAACCAACTGAGCCAAGCTGGCCAGGCTCCAGTTTCATAAGCAGGTGTTACCTAAGCACAGCTTCTCAGGATTCGATATTAAAGCAACACAAGATCTTTCCAGGACTCAAGAAGGGACACTAGATACTTGGCCATCTGGGTGAGAGTCTCCTACATGCCCATGAATGGCACTCTGCACACAAAGCCAAAAGTTTAAGGATAGGGGCTTGGGAGACGTCTGTCTGGTTTGACCCCCAGCCCTGCCCTTCCTCTGGCTGCGTGACTTAGACAAGACACTCAGTCTCTGAGCCTCAGTTTCAGTGGGAAAACAATGGGTTCCAACTGCCGCCCCGTCCAAGGACAATTGTAAGGATTCAAAAGGACACCGTAGGTGGATGTGTCCAAGGCGATGGCCCCTGCCTCGCAGGTGTTTCCTACACACTGTTGAGGAAAGCACCGCAGGTGCTAGAAGACAGCAGGGAAGTGCCTTTGTCATCTGCCTGTCCCAGCTCATGGAGGACACTGTCCCTGGGCCAGCGGGGGTCCGGGGGCGGCAGAAAACTCTCACTGCCATCTCCGCCAGGGTGGGGCTGTCTCTGGTGGACATGTCTTAGAGAGGTGGACGTGTCTTAGAGAGGCGGCCGCCTTGGCTAGAGAGGCTGCTCAGTGTCCTAGAACACCCACGTGAGCTGCCTCCCTCGGAGGAAACTCGGCCCAGGCCCAGGGGAGGCCCGCAGGGACAGAGCTGCCAAGCCCGCCTATCAGCAGGACATCTGAGTCATCAGATCTCTCCAGAAGCCATCCAGCCAGCGCAGGACCAAGCAGCCCCCACATCCAGGCTGGGCATCAACCAAGCGGCTGGATTCCCTGACCAAATGAATTTGATGCTCACTCAGCCAACTGTTTCCTGGGTGCCCCATAAAATGCTCAGCACTGGGGACACTGATGTTTCTCGTCTGGGGACCTGCCAGCCAGCTGTGTAAACTTGGACAGGGGACCTCATTTCTCTGAGCCTCTGTTTTCTTATCCTTAATCCTCCCCATGGCTGAGATGAGGATCCAGCTAGAGGGGCAGGGTAGCCTTGTCCTTTGTCATCCGGCTCCTCTGCTCACTCCCTGGGTGGCCTGGGTGTCTCCATCTGTCTGACAGGGAAGGTAGTATGCCTTCCTCCCAGGCTTCATGAGGGCCAACCACGTCAATACACGCAGTGTGCTTAGCATAGAGCAATGCTAAATACACGTCAACTAGGAGTCCTTCGTTCACTGGACTGCCAAGGCCCTGCTGGGAACGGAGAGGTGACCTAAAGGGACAGAGGTCTTTAGCTCCTGTGATGGATACAGTCCAGCAAGGGAGGCATGAAGTGTCCTGTTGATGAGTGTACAATCAAAGCCATGACAACTCCATGTGTTGAAGCACCAACACAGTCCTGGGAAAGAGCTGACAAAACAAAGAACCTCGCCCAGCCAGCAGGCTGACAATGGCTTCCCAGGAAAGCAGATCTTGAGCTAAGATCTAACAGATGAAGACCCAAGTGAAGAGGAAGATGGGAAGAACATCCCAGGCAGAGGGGAGCAGCGTGGGCAAAGGCCGGTGGTGGCAGAACGTGGTGCATGAGAGGAAGCACAACACGGTGCAAAGGCGGGAGGGGTCATGGCACTGCAGAGGCTGCAGGGCCACCAGGCTGCAAGGAAGAGATGGGCTTTAACCTGAGAGCGCAGAGAAGCCACGACAGAGCCTGAAACTGGCTAGAGGGGGAGGAAAACTCGTAGCAGGACCAGTTAGAGGTTACTGCAGTCAAGTTTCTTTGTCAAGTTTATGAGAGATGATGCCTTGGACGAGGGAGGTGAGGTGGATGTGGACAAGCAGGTGGACAGAAAGAGATACCAAGGATAATGCTTCAGGCTGAGCCCGGGTGGGTAGTGATTCCCACACTTTGAGACAGAGAGCTCAGGAAGGCCAAGTGCAAAGGGGCAGGAGTATGGGGAGACAGGTATGATCTGTTTGATATTTGTTATGTGAAACTAGGAAACCTTTGAGATTTTGGAGTATAAATGGAGGGAACCAATGGATATGAGGGCCTGGTGTTCTCAGAGAGATGGAGGCTGAGGCTGGAGACGTAAGAAGGAACAGAGGTAACTGGAGCTATGGTCTTGAGTGCGGTCACTCGGGGGAGAGTGTGGAGGACAGGGCCCAGGTGAAGCTTTGACAAGCACCAGCACCCAGGGGCTTCACAGAGGACGGCGCGCTTGGAGAAGAGCCCTGGAGAGGTGGGAGAGCCATGGCAGCGTGTGGTGTGCGGAAGGCAAGGGGCAATCAGATTTTGGGAAGGAGTGGCTCACCTGATCAGGGTAGAGGGCTGAATGGCAGCCCCCAAAACATGTCTGCGTCCTAATCCCCAGGACCTGCGTCGCCTTATAGGGCAAAGGTGTGATTATTAAAAATCTTGAAGGAGATTATCCTGGATTATCTAGATGGTCCCCGATGCCATCACCTGTCTCCTTATGAGAAGACAAAGTGTTTTGAGAGACACACCCAAGAGGAAACAGCAACATGACCACAGGGGCAGATGGGAGTGATGGGGCCACAAGCCAAGGAATGCCTGGGGCCAGAAGCTGGAAGAGGGCAAGGAATGTATTCTCCCTCCCATGGAGCCCTCAGAGGGTGCATGGCACTGCTGACGCATTGATTTTGGACTTCTGGTCTCGGGAACAGTAAGAAAATTAATCTCTGCTGTTTTAAGTTGCCAGGTATATGGTATTTGGTACAGCAGCCTCAGGAAACTACCACAGTCAGGTCCTGCCAGAGGTCAAAGAGCAGGAGAGCAGAAACATGTCCCTTACTAAGAAGACAGGGTTCAGACCTGGCTGCCGATGAGGAACGCCCAGGAAGCTTTGGAAAGTGCCAGATGCCTGGGCCCACCCACGTCCATTAAATCACAGTCCTTGTGGCAAGTCCGGGCAGACATTTTTTGTTGTTTTGTTTTGTTTTTTAAACATAAGGCCAAGACTGAGAACCACTGCGCTAATAGAGCCATTCCAGAGACCTGAGTGAGCAGACTCCCCACTGGAGTCAGGGAAGAAAAGAGTAGACGTAAGATAATGGAGGAAACTGAGGTGGATGTGGGTCAAGAGGACTGCTTTTCAGGTGGGAATGACATGGGCATATTTAAATGATGATGGAGGAGATTGAAGTTGAGAGAGACGAGGTGCACGAGACTTGAGAAGGTAGGAAGGTTAGAGGGCAAAACCCAGAGTGTCCCTGAGTTAGAAGTCAGCGGCCGACCAGTCCGTCTGGGAGGTTCTCCCTGGTGCTGTTTGCCCCCGCTGTGGGTGGGCAGGCCTGCGGAGGTACTTCCGGCCCAAGCACTTAAATGCCAACACGAGAGTCTCAGAGCCCTCTCTTCACTCTGGCACAGCACCTGGAAGTGCCCAGGATGGCAACCACCCATCTGCCTGCGTCCCTGCAATGACAGCAATGAGCAGACCGTGACGGACATGCAATGTGAGCAGGGATGACAGGGACCTTGGCTGCTTTAGATCCCTTAGGCCCGGGGAGGTGGGCTACCGCAGCGGACTGTAGTCCATCCCGCCTGACAAGGAGCGGACACAGCTTTCAGAACTCATCGCTACTGGTTGTGTGCGTGCCGGAAAAAGAAAAACACCCAGGAAGGTGGGCGGGGACAATTCAGAAAGTACCCAGAAAAGATCACTTCGGGGGTAGGGAATGAATAGAGGAGTGGGTGGGCGGGGGCAGGGAGGACAGAGAACTGTTCCAGACAGAGGGAAGTGTATGTGCTAAGAGTCTGAATCAGAAAGCAGTCAGGAAATTGGCTCAAATGCAGAGAATGAGGTTGGTGGTGAGAGATGAAGCCAGAAAGTCAGGGGCTGGAAGCCAGGGAGATATCACAGGTCTCAGTTAAAGGGATCCATTGAAGAGTTTTAAACAAGGGCGAGGCCTTTGAAACGCTTTTTCTGCTGCTGCGCAGCGAGCAGGTCGGAGGGAGGCAGAACAGAGAACAGGTGCAGGAGTCAAGGCGGGAGATGAGCAGTAGCTAGAACTCCTACAGCATCAGACACCGTACGTGCTCAGCAAGCATGAGCCACCCGGTGCAGCGGTGCATGGCAGACGGGCAGGAAGCAAGTGCACCCCAGGGAGAGAGAAGGCAGAACTTGCCTGCCCACGGTGCCCCATAGAGTCTACTCTCCTTGGGGCTTCTGGGGAGCTGCCTAGACATGGTTTGGGGGGCAAAGCAGAGGCAGGAGCTACCCCCACGAGCAGCCCAACCTGCTCCCATTGAACTTTCTGGGAAGCCGCGATTA